TGGTCTTGAGCTAGAGATAACCTTTCTTACATACTTAAACTTTTTTGAGAGGAGGGAGCTTGGAAATCATGAGGTACTTCCACACTCCTTTGAACAGTTTAGCAGCTGATTTGAAACACCTTGAGACACCTTTGAAACACAAAACTGAAAATAGGATTAAATAACATGAACTAAGGAAAATATTCAAAAGTTATGAATACTGTGCTGAAAATGGTTTTGATTATGGTGCTGTGACCAGTTGAAAATTGCTTTTTAATGTTTATTTTCCTCAAAAAAGTTTAATGACTAAAGTGAAAAATACGTCTGCTACCAAGTACTGCAGTTATTAAGACCTAAAGCAATCATACTGTATTTAAAAATAACATTCATGATCATTATCTTGAAGTGTTGCACACTCTTGACATTACTTTTTTTTTTAATATGCCACTTCATAAATGTCTTTTGTTTTGTGACTGTGTGTCTGTCTTCCCCAAATGATCTGTTGTGTTGCGTTTTTGCTTTCTAATACGTTTTTCTTTTTCCTTTTTCCTGCTTTACCTCCCTCACTTTATATTTCATTGTATCAAGGTCTACAGAAACTTAAAAATTGTCCTACATAAAATTTGGGTTGTCTAGCTCTTGATGGCTAGAACAAAAAGGCTTTTCTCCTAAACACTAAGTACTGTATGTTTTAAACTTGCTTCTGCTAAGCTCAGAAACAGATGTTGGACTCAGAAATGGAAACTTCCATGGTTGTTTAGGAAGAATAAAGTCGGAGTAAGACTTTACAGCAAATATTAAAAGCAAATTACAGTGTTAAAACTAATGTATTTAATGTGTTTAAAATTTTACAGGGTTTAATGTGTTTAAAATTTTGCAGGGATACAGGGCTTCCACAAGCTTCTGTAGAAAGCTCTATAAGTACAGCAATTTTGCATATGCAACTTTTTAAAAAGAAAAAACAAAGGTACAGCTCAGAGACGTATGTTTGCTAAGAGAAGAATATTTTCATTTTCTGAAGGGTAAGTTGTGAACGTACGCCTTTTTTAAATCAGTCCGTATGCGTAAGTCTAGTGAAATGCTGGTGCAGTGATGGAGTCTGGCAAAGCGTGGGTGCTTTGTGAAATTCCATCGGTAGCTCTGCCAAGATGACCTGCTCTGCGAGTTTGACACCTTTGCAAATTCACTCTGCGGGTGCAATGTGACTTGAGTTTATGGGTAAATATGTCTAAAGAAGAGGTAGCTATTTTGCAGGTAAGACAAAAACACTTTTGTTTGCATGCTCCACTGGCTTACTAACTGACTTCTCTTATAAAAGCTCTGCAAAAGAAGGGTAAGCGGACGTCTTAAAAATGAAAGGGTTAACTGAAATGTTGCATATGGCACACAGCTTGTTTTAGGACAGTAGTGGTATACGACCCTATTGAAAGTGCAGTCTTTTATTCCAGACAGTCAGAGCAGGACTGTAAGAATATGGTGCGTTGTGTTCATGTAAGACATGTTTGTTTAAAAGACATATTTGGAATTTAAAAATTACTTCATTTCTGCCTGCATGTACAAGAAAGCAAAGGATTTTAAATCTGGACTTGGGAATGAAACAACAAACAAAACTGCATTTGAATCTGAACACTCGCATTTTCACCTCTTCTTATTGCATTTGATGTCATGATTGTCATGCACTGGACATGAATGCTGTAGTCTTTCTCCAGAATGAAAGCGTGCCCTTTGGTTGTGTTAAAAGGGCTTTATTTGAATAATTTTTCTTTAGTATAAAGCAGCAGAGAAAAAATCCTCAATCTTGAAACTGTTTTGTTTCCCACTGCCTGAAAAATATATTGAAATACTAATTTTTTTTTCTTTACAGCCATGAAGGTTGTTTAACCTTCAGCAAAGAGCTACTTGCGCTAGTAATCAACCTCTGATTTGTCTGTTTTGGAGGCAGATTCATCCATCAAGTCCTGAGTGCAAAGCTAGAAGTGCTTAAAAGGCACTTTCCCATACATGTTTGATTACTGGAGCACAGCTGCTGTTCTGGGTAATTAATGTGAGAGTATTGCATCTTTCAGATGGGTGCTGTGTCTTTATTTCCAGGGTTAGGTGACCTCTGTTGCTTATACTCTCTTCTGCCTGTGGCATTTTACGTAGGTTATTGGTTTTTGTTTGCTTGCTTGAGGTAAGGTGCTTTTTGAAGGCTTAGTGAGAATAATGAGAAAGGCCTTGTGCCTGCTTGATGGAAATGCTAATGAGAGAAGAAAATTTTGTTTTTCAGTAGTCTTCCAGCTACCGTTTAAGAAAAGTGCTTCTAAACCCCCCACATTAATAGGTAGTCCTTTTACAGTACTCTGCTAAGAACCTTCAGTGAAAAGTAAGCTTCTGAGTTAAATACATGCATTTGACTACTTAAAACTGGTTATTGGAGCTGAGGTAACCTAAGGACATTTATTCAGATCCACAGTTTTATAAGCATGTTTTTCTTCACCGCAGACAATTAAAATTTGAAAAAATGTTGTCCATATATTATTCTTAGTAAAATTAAGCAGTGAATTTAAAATGAAATTATTGGAGAGGGGTAAACAGAAAAGGACCTTTTTCAGTAAAAGCCTTTAAGTAAAACAATTTCCTCCTCATGCCCCCTAAACGCTTTACCTTGACATTTTCAAGAAGTCAGTATTTGAAATTAACCTGAGATCAGTCCTCAAATGAGGGCAGTTTCACACATGAAACAGTTTTACTGTGGTTGCTTTCATTTTGCAAAATATTGGGGGCCTTCAGGTGATCTATAGCAATATTTCAGCTGGTCGGTATCTCTCTTTAATTTTTTCTTATAGCTGTACATGTCAGCAATGATTTGTATCCTTTATATGCTAGCTAGTCTGTTTTAATTGATCTTGTGCTATGGCTTCCAAAGTTGGATCACATATTTTCAGATATTGTCCTAACTTTGGTTGTAGTAAATATTGTGGCATTTGATAGCTTTTTTTGGGTTGAGGTTTGGAGAGTCTTCACACGGTTGACTTTTGCCTTATTTTCAGACTTAGCATCATTCAGTTAAAGATGTAGCAGTATACATGTTACATACATTTCCAAAAATTTGCCGTCATCCTGTGGTTGGGTAGAACTTCACTTCCTTTTACTAGTAGTACACTTTCTCTGTGAGTGACCAATGACACTTAGGTAAAAGTCAAGGGCTGCTTTGAGTGCAGCAGTTTTAAGGTAGATTCTTTAAACAGTGCTCCATTTTTTGGCTTAATTCTGTGTCTATGCAAAGGAGTGGAAATTTTACAACTGACTTCAATGGAAACAGGGAATCTTACTTGGAATGGATTTTTCAAAGGCCTATTATGTATTATTTTCTTCACTATTCTTTTTATTTAATCTGTGCTTAAGATTGAAAGCTCTCTGATACCGTTGTTCTTGTTTCCTTAAATGATATGGTTGTCATCTGGTTTGGGGGTTGGGATGTTTGGTTTGGCAAAGACATTACCTTGTCACTGAAGGATTCTTATTCATATATGTTCTTTAGCTGAAAAAAGGAAACCTGAATTTTCTCATAGTTATTGTGAAACTGAAGTCTAAAGTAATGAGCTTTTCTGTTTGCTTTTTCTTTGTGTGTGACCTCAGAAGGTTAAGGATTAGTTTCTGTATAATATCTTTACTTGTTCAATTGATGTTTTTTATGTGATTTCTTAATTATTATTTTACAACTTTACTACACCATGATCTATTAAACTTTTTTCTGCCCTGTAAAGGTGGAAAAGGAACATCTTATGAGTTAAACACAGCATGCTAGATTTGCACGAGTTATGTGTGTATTGTTGCTGGAATTGAAACGATCCTTCTGGAATATGGGCCAAAATTTATTTTGTTTCCTTCTTTTTTAAGGACTGTAAGTTTTAAAGGCTAAAGCATTAGATGTGGCATAGACAAGGAGAAACGTTTGTTGACCTGAAAGGTGCCCACTAGCTTTCCCGTGGAGCCATAGTACAAATATCTCCTATCTGCCCTTGCCTGCTTGCCAAAACTCTGGTGGAGGGCAGCAGAAATTATTACTTGCTCTCCTGTGGAGAGTATTCCCACTGCCATTTTCCACAGAGCTCTTTTATTTAACAGAGCGTCAAATAAACCTCCCTGCCCAAGTTCACTAAATTTGGTGCAAGTTCTATTTTACATTCATGTTAAATTTTTTAATTGATGTTTGACATGTACAGTTTCGTACTTCCTTCAGATTATATGTCTTCCAACAGATGCCTTTTCTCTTAATATGTAGCAATAAACTGCAGGCTAAAACAGTATTTTATTCATGGGTATGTTGTTTGAGTTGGAATACATAAGATGCCCCCGTCTTTATGAAAGTACATTTTTTAAAACATAGGGCAAGGTTCAAAATAGCTAAAGCTGTTAGGTAAAAATGAAACCTTCTGAGCTAGAAAAGCCTGGTTGCCTTGAGAAACTTGTAGAGGCTAACCTGTCGTCTTATGGCCTGCATAATTGTCATCTTTGGCAGACCTCTGTGGAAATTATATTGTCTTTTGAGATTTTTACTCAAACACAATAAGGCCAAAATGTTGTGTTGTGTTCTCAATGTAGCAGGGGTCATGGTTATGAATATTAGTAATGCCTATTCGATATTTTAGGCAAGACATTTGGTTCAGGAGTCATCCTATGTGATTTTAGATGTATCCCATTAAGGATATTGGATCTTGCTGTCACATGCTTCCCCAGGAGCTGCTCTGAGATAGTTCTTCCACAAAGAATTTGTCCTTAAAATGTGAGGTGCAGTCCCCAGTGGATGGTGGTTGGTGCTGATGGAGATCATTTGCGTGGAAGGCCATACTGCTGTCCTGGCTGTCCTCTGACTTCGTAGCTTATGAAGTCAAAAGTTTGTCTACTGGGGCAGAAGTCAAAAGTTTGTCTACGGGGGCAGGAAAGGTGCCTGTTGTTGCTTCTGTATATTGACTTTTAATTTTTCTAAGAGTAACTTCAGGGGTTTTTTTTGTTGTTGTTTCTTTCTTTCATTCCAGCTGTGATAGGCAAAATGTCAATAGAATAAGTGGCCTGTCCGCCAGAACTTGCCATGAACCATTTGGTTGGACCGCCTGAGGGGGAAGTAAGTGAAGAGCCAGCAAATGGAGCAGTAAACGAGTCGGTGGAGGCTGACCTGGAGCGTTCAGAGGTGGAAGAGGAGCAACGGTATGCAACTCGCTACCCGAGGCACACAGACAGCAGCCAAAGGGGCCAGTCTGGGCAGGAGGAAGAAGGGATGCTAGCTCGGTCGGCCAGCACTGAGAGTGGTTTCCACAATCATACAGACACGGCTGAAGGGGATGTTATAGCCACAGTGGAGGACAGTTACGATACAGACAGAGTTCAGGAAAATGAGGATGAGAGCGCATATGCGGTGCAGTATAGGCCAGAGTCTGAGGAGTACACAGAGAACGCTGAGGCTGAGCATGGCGAGGCCATTCATAACCGAACGCTGCCCAACCATTTGCATTTCCACTCCATCGAGCACGAGGAAGCCATGAATGCAGCCTACTCGGGTTATGTCTACACGCATCGGCTCTTCCACCGGGGGGAGGATGAGCAGTATGCTGAGCCTTATGCTGATTATGGACTGCAGGAGCATGTGTATGAGGAGATAGGGGAGACACCAGAGCTCGATGTGAGGGACGGGCTCCGGCTCTATGAGCGGGAAAGGGAGGATGCGGACAATTACCGCAAGGAAGCACTTGGCGCCCGACTTCACCATTATGATGAACGGTCTGATGGAGAATCTGACAGCCCTGAGAAGGAGGCAGAGTTTGCACCCTACCCAAGAATGGATAGTTATGAACAAGAGGAGGACATTGATCAGATTGTGGCAGAGGTGAAGCAGAGCATGAGCTCCCAGAGCTTGGACAAGGCCGCTGAAGACATGCCAGAGGCGGAGCAGAGTTTGGAGCACACTCATGTACTTGCTGGGCATGAAAGCAACGGCCAGCTACCTGCTGGTTCTCAAGTCATGTCCAACTCGGGAGAGTCCATACAGAGGTACAGCAAGGAAAAGAGAGATGCGATTTCATTGGCCATTAAGGACATTAAAGACGCTATTGAGGAAGTGAAGACAAGGACCATCCGATCTCCTTATACCCCTGATGAACCAAAGGAGCCTATCTGGGTGATGAGGCAGGACATCAGCCCAACCAGGGACTGTGACGACCAGAGGCCACTAGATGGAGATGTGAGTATGCAGAGCCTTCCTCTCTCAGGTTGTGTCTGCCCTGTTGCTTTAATTGTGACATAGACTGCAGTGCAGGAGGGTTGGGTTTTTTTCTTGTTCTGTGACTCAGTCCTCAGTACAGTATGTAGTGCTTAGTGCATTTTGAATTCGTACCCTAGAGGGTATGTAAGAGCTAAGCGTGCACTATCAGTGAGACAAATTTTCCATTATGAGACACTGATGGCCTCAGTTATATTATACAACAATTTGATTCACAAAACTCTTGACTTTTTTTCTGAAACAAGTGCTGTTACAGTTTTTTCTAACAGCCACTGCACAGAATAGCATAGAATAGAATAGCTAGCAAATAATTTATCTTCTATTACCTTGTGTCCTGTTAATTCTAGACTTCTAAGTTTCATTTTCTGTCAGATAATAGTTTTTGTTAACAGCCTGTTAGTGTTATTTATGATTTCTATAAAGATTGTATCACAGATTCAGATTCCAGAAAAGATCCATGCTTTTTTTTTCCCCTCACTTCCAGGCTCCAAAGATATGTTATGAACCCTAATATAAAATATTATTGCTATAAAATGTATTCTCTCTCCTGTGACCTAAGCATTGAAGACCATTGCCGAGAGATGTACAGTATCAGCATTTCTTAAATTCTGTACTTCTTGGCATGAGGCTTTACTTGGATCAGAATCAGTTTAGGTTGTCATTCCAGCTGTCATTGTTGGCCTGTCATTGTAATCTTTGCTTGAAATTTTATGGCTTTTCTTCTCTCCTAGTAAAATAAACTCATAAGCAACTTTTAACTATATTAAATTCATGCCTGATGTGAAAAGATCTGGTAAGCTAAATTTAGCAGGCCGAAATCATCTCTAATATGGACCTATCCAATTATTTCAAGGATAACTGCACTGTAAACATCTGCTCCATCCTCTTTACTGCTGTGCAGCATTTTTGGTGACCTTTGTTTTTTTGGAAGAACACTGAATGATAGACGTTTGAGTATTGTTTAGCCTTTTGACCTTAACCTATTGCAACCTTTTATTGTTACCTATTGTAACCTATTGCACCCATCAAAACTACAAAATACTTCAGTCTCAGCAAAGCAAATTCAGATGATGAAAGAGGATCACATGCAGTGTAGACCTATGACTTGCTTCTTTTCCAGCTATGTTCAAAACTAAGAAGGCTAGTATTCTACAAATGTGACTTTGGAGCGTATCAGAATTGCTGAATAAGCATGCAAGCTAGCCTAGACAGACGGCTTCCAGATTTTGTTGTCCTTGGAAACTGTCGGAAACGTGTAGCGATGAGTATGTTCTGGTTTTAATTTCTTCATAGTCTCATTGAAACTCTTCAAAATTGTATTTTAAAAATTATTCCCCCAGCTATTTTAGAAATCAAGCCTGTTCATTGGTAATCAAATGAAGGACTAAAGCAACATGTCCATTATATAGAAGAAAACAGTTATTTTTCATTTTATTTTTTGAAATTGTTTCCAACAGTATTGAATAATTCCCTCTCGTTATTCAAATATGGATCGTGTTACTCTGTTTCTCGTTGTACGCTTTAGCCACCGTATTTTCTGTGCTTCTAAGTGCTTCAAGAGAATCAAAGCATTCTTCTTGCTGCTCAGATTACTTAGTACCAGCAGCGCTTAAGCAACCTTAGGTTGGGGGTCCTTGGAACACTGAGTCCTTCCTGAAAGTGCTCCGGCTACTCTCAGAAACCTCACTGCACCTTGCGGAATTTGACTTTCTAAGGTGTGATGTTAGTAGAGTACATTGTACAAGTACACTAGGTTTTTGATTTTGCACCAAATAATTCATTTCTCATTTGACATTTTTCATGGCTTGTCATATAGGAGCCTGACTGAGATTTTCCATGCTGGCAGTAATTGAAACAGTGATGTATAATGACAATAAGCATAGCTCATTGCAGAGATAAATGGTGATTGTAGACATACAGGCAATCTGCATTCTTGGAAGGAGAAAACAAAGTTGAGCAAATAGAAGATGTGTGGCAGATTGAGGGGAATCCATGTTGTAGGAGAATAAAATATGGAATTTGGGATTGGGAAGGTTTCTGTTTTTCATAGAAGATTAGATTTTTATTTGCATTACTAGGCTCTTTAATTCAGATATCAACTCATACAAGTCTGAACTTGTACTTTCTTTAACAGAGCATTCCTAGAATTGCTGCGCAGTAAATTGGATAAAATTGGATTGTGTTGACTAAGTGATTATGAGCGAACCATTCTAAAACTATATATAGTTGAAGCCCATTTATCAAAATATATTTTTTTCTCTTTCTCTCTCCAGAAGAAAAACCAAGATCTCTGACAAGAGCTTTTCAGTGTAATCAATATATGCCAGAGATGTAATTCAGTCTAGTTTGTAACATTGATATTGAAATAAGAAAGAATTCGATTCAGAGAGAGATAATTGTTTTACCTTCGGACAATACACCCTCTTCGTCCCCCGGAACTATCAAGGAGCTGCACAGGAGTGAGGCAGATCGGGTGCTTTTATTACCTTTAGTATTTTTCCAGCTCTATTTTGAAAATTATCCCCGTGCTGTTTTTTTTAACAAAACCACTTTGCTTTTAGAACTAATACTTGGAAATATTTTTAATCATTTTGTGTTGTTAATCATATGATATTGAAACTGGCAAGACCTCTTTAGATCTAAATAGCAGTCACTTTTTATTTATCTAGGAGCCGCTCTCCGAAAGAGAGCGATGGAGCCATGGAGTCAGAAGAATGATTTGCAGTTGAGAGTCACTAAATACAACAATTTCTCTTTTGCTTTTTTTCCATGAGAAAGTGACTGCCGTTCCTTCGGTCTGAGCATTTGGTTGATAGATTAAAAATAGAATGTTTGGTGGAAGACCAGTTTGAAGGATCCAGTAACTAGTTTGAGAAGCTAATGATCAAAACAGCCGGCCTGCAGCAGGGTCTAGTTAGAGATTATTTGCAACAGCAAGCATGGAAGTAAGATAGATACAGATCAGTTGAGTAAAAGTCCATTTATTTTTAAGGAGCCCTGTTTCCAAGTTTATTTACAATTTAATCTACACAGAAATTTCCATCATTCCTATGTACTTCTCCCCAAAATAAATATTTTGTAAGTATGTAAAAAGGGTATTGCCGACATCCCATGGACACTTCCGCTGTAGTAAGCTGTGGTAGTCCTGTGATGTAGAAGGTAGGTAGCAGACTTGTGTGAATAAATCCAAGTACCTGCTTAATGTTTAACGATGCAGGGTATATTCTGTCATGTGCTTTGTGCGGTCTTATTTAGGGATGCATGCTTTCACTGGAATAAGAGAGGCTCTGAATTTTCTGGACATTCAGTTGATGGGGCAGGCGCATTTGATAAAAGCTGAAAGATGCTGTCACTGTCCTTGGAATAAATGCGGTTGTTTTTTGTTTGTTTTTGTTGTTTTTGCTTTTTTGTTTTTGGAAGTTTCTCACTCAAGCAAGATACAAGTAGTTGACATATATTTCCAAAGTCTTTTTATCAGAAATCTTTTCTGAATACAGTACCAGTGAGAGCTGCACAGCTGCTGAGATTGTGACAAGAGGAAACCGACTTTTGATGAAAGGCTGTGGGGCTCCAGTTAGATTATATACTCTTGGGTGTGAAACTGGAGAGATTCTGCTCACATTGTGCTGAAAGATGTTTGTGGCTGGACACCAGCATGGAGCATCTGGTACATACGCCTCCAGGACAACCTGCAGGAAAGGCTGTTCTTATTCTAGATGCTCACAGTTATCTTCCAGGAAGGAAAGGCCCTGGTCCTATTTAGGTAGCTGTCCTATTTAAGTCAGCCTTCCCTGGCAGATTCTCCGTCAGAAACAACCTATTATGTGTGTGCCTAGCCAAGCACAGACACAGAGGTGTTTAAAGGTCTAAATAGAGGACGTTTGCAGTGGATCTGGATTTAAGGATGAATGCGTATTGCTGGAAAGGAGAATAGTTCTTGTGTGGTGGGTATCTCAATATGGGGAAATATTTTGTATACAAATTGTGTGAAAGGTCTAAAAAGCATCTTTAAAAGGTCACAGTGCTTTGAGAATAGTGGCTTTTTTAGATGTGGAAATAGAGCTACCTGCTGAGAAAAGCACTGTAAGGAACAAAATCTTAAGGTTTTTTTTTTTTTTTTTTTTTTGGTCAGGATTTAAAGAGCATTTCTTTCTTCTCTTGACCAGAGAAGACAGGCAAGCAGCCTATTTCTGTTGCCATAATAAGGAGAAAACAATGTAGGGCTCAAAAGAAGGTCATGATACTTAGTTCTAAGAATAGAGAATCTCTCCTTCCAAACTAGATCACCTATCAAAAGGTTTATGGATCTGAAAACCAGAGGTTGACTCTCCAGGACATATTTTGTTCCTGTGTTCCAAGATCTCTGTGTTAGAGCCCTGTCACTGGTGTCCACGGTCTCTGTCCCTCTGCAGACCCTTGTGGCAGTGGAGTATTAGAATAAAAACTAGTATAAAGCAAAACCACATACATGGATGGCTTGGGTTTGTGAAGCAGAAGCTGACTGCTGAAGACAAGCCCTTCAGATAGAAAGGAACTGACCTGCAGTATTTTGCTTCTCTATCCTTTTGTGTTACACATATTTTATTTCAGCCTTTAAGTTCTCATTAGCAGGATTTTCTCGATTCTCATGACTCCAGAGATGCTGGAGTATCATCACAGAGATGAATTTGTTTCACTTTTTCCACAGCAGGAGTAATTTATTATTAATAAGGCAATAGAGAAGTCTGTTTTAAATAATTAAGCAGGTTTCAGTAGTAGATGAACTAAGGGGGGACAAAAAGAAAGAAAAGGAATGAAATAAAGATGAGCTTATATTAATAGGATATTATTTTCTTTTTCTAAGCAGAGGTTTTAGAATTGCTGATTGAACACACAGAATACAGATTGTCTTTGTCATCTGCGTTAGTCCACGGTCTTAAAAGTATATAGCAAACTAGTTAAAAATAAAAAATAAAAAAAAA